ATGGGGAACTAAGTTACTTCATTCATTTAAAAGAAAATACGAAAAATGGGCAAGTAAGTTAACAATTTCATTCATTTTCACCTAAAAATGTGATTTAATAATATTTTCGACGACTACAATTTCAAACTAACAAAAAAAGTACCTCAATCTAATATTCCTTCGTCGTGGTCTGATCGCATGTAATTGGCTTGGTCGTCTATCTCATTTGGTACAACAGGTCTAGGAACAGTGAAAGGTGCCAAGTCATCAAACGCATCATATTCTTCCTCATCCTCGACATCTCCAACACCAAGGATTCTTCTTTTGCTGGCTAGCACAATAGACCATTTTGTGTCGACTGGGTCACTTACGTAAAACACTTACTTGGCTTGAGATGCAAGGATGAATGGTTCAGCACTATCATTCAGGTGGCCAAGATCTACAAGAGTAAAGTCATCATGTTTGATGTTACGCCTGATATTATCAACCCACTTACACCGGAAAAGAGCAATCGTGAAGTCACAATAATCAAGCTCCCATATTTCTTGAATTCGACCGTAGTATGACAACTCTGCATCAACAGGTGATTTATCCTTAGCACTTGCAAACTCCCTTGACGATTCCACAAGCGTTACACCACTGTTTTGGGTCGAGGATGATTTCAAATCCTGACGCTCAGTCCAAAATGTGTACCCATTTATGTCATATCCCTCAAATGAGCGAACGTCATCCCTAGGACCATAAGCAAGCCACCTTACTGTATCTGTGACACTCTCATACTTTCCACCCATCACTCGATCACGAAACTAACTCACAAACTTCTTATTATGCAACTGCATCAGTGCTCGTTCACCTTTCGATGGAAATTCATCACGCAAACTAGCCATGTGCTCGTCTAAATATGGGTGAACATCTGCAACATGGTGCAACACATATAGGTGCGCTTGTAAGAACTTATCTTGATCAGGTGACATTCGTTTCGACCCGATTGTGCCATGACCATCAAGTCTCCCTTCATGTCGAGAAGTAGGAATACCAATAGGTTTAGCAACGGCTATATAGTCGGCCACAAAATTACCGACCTCCTCAGCCACGGTCCCTTGAATCATAATTCCTTCCGGGTGAGCCCGATTCCTCACTTTATCTTGCAATGTACCCATATGTCTTTCAAAAGGATAGCACCACCGCATGAACACTGGACCGCATAACTTAATCTCACGCACCAAATGAAGAATCAAATGCACCATTATGTCGAAAAACGAGGGTGGGAAGTACATCTTAATTTGCATAAAGTCACAACCACATCCGCCTGTAAAGCATCAAGTGTACAAGGATCAAGCACTTTGCTGCATATTGTATTGAAAACCGAACAGAGGCTTGTAATAGCTTCCCTCACGTGCTTTGGTAAAATACCACGTATTGCAATTGGTAGGAAAACTTGCATCAGAACATGACAAGCATGGGATTTCCATACTTGTCAGCTTCAATTCTCTATTTAAGGATACAAATCTCTTCATGTTAGATGCGTACCCTGATGGAACCTTAATGCCAGACATGCACAAAACATCCGTTTTTCTACCCTTGACAATGTGTAGCAAGCCAGAGGTAAATAGGCCTTGCCCTCCTTGGCTTTTCCCTCATTTTTCTTCTTCGACGCATCCGTGGCCTTTCCCTTTCCCTTGCTCTTCCCCTTTCCTGTTTTCGAACTCAATTCATTTTCCTTTTCCTGTTCCTTTCCCTTACTAACCCTTTGCTGAACCCACAATTCTGGACGCACCCCCATCTTTTTCAAATCGTCCCGTGCACCCTTTTTCGTCCTTTGTCTTGCTTTGAATATTCATCAGCGTTCCCACAAGAGCATCACACACATTCTTCTCTATATGCATTACATCAAGACAGTGCCTAACGTCATGTTCTTTCCAGTACGGGAGCAACCAAAAGATTGATTCTTTTTTAAAGAGTGCAGTTGACTCCGCCGCTTTTTCTGATTTCCCAAAGACTGTTCGTACACCCTTAACTCGAGCGTAAACCTCCTCACCAGTCAACGGCCTAGGCGCACTCCCCTCTTCCGATGTCCCATCAAAAGCCTTTTTCTGCCTACGATACGGGTGATCGCGCCTGAGCAACCTTCTGGTCCGCAAATACACCTCTTTGTGAGAATGATCAAGGCGTCTGCTTGGCGTATCATCAATACAAATGGGGCATGCTTTTTTCCCTTTGTTCTTATACCCAGACAAGTTGCCATATGCAGGAAAATCATTAAACGGTCAACATAAGAGCTGCACGCAATGTGAACATCTCATTCTTATGAGCATCAAACACGGAAACCCCTTCGTCCCACATCTTTCTCAAATCATCAACAAGTGGCGCAAGATAAACATCTATGTCGTTTCATGGTTGCCTTGGCCCCGATATCAAAAGTGAAAGCATTACGTATTTCCGTTTCATGCACAACCAAGGAGGCAAATTGTAGATCACTCAAAGTACCGGCCATGTGCTATGCTGGGTACTAAGAGTGCCAAATGGATTCATACCGTCCGTGCAAAAACCAAGCCTTAAATTCCTGACTTCATCACCAAATTCCCCAAACTTCATATCAATGTTCTTCCATTGCGGGGAGTCGGCTGGGTGCTTCAGCATTCTGTTTTTCTTTCTTCCCTCTGCATGTCACCTCAAGTTTTTAGCGTCTGTTGGTGTTGAGAATAGACACTTAAACCTTGGAATAATGGGAAGATACCACAACACCTTAGCAGGCGGTCCCTTCGTATCAGCATTGCAACTCATGCGCTTGTAGCCCGACTTCTTACATCGTGGACACTCCTCCAATTTTTCATATTCATTTCGATAAAGAATACAAGCATTAGGACATGCATGTATCTTCTTATACTCCAAACCAAATGGACACATGAGCTTCTTTGCGTAATAGTAAGACTTAGGAATTTCATTCCCGTCGGGCAACATCTCACTTAACGCGCTCAACAAAGAAGTAAAACTATTGTCCGTCCACCCATGCTTCGACTTAATGTTAAAAAGTGTTAGCACGGCTGATAGTTTAGAGTATTTTTTGCACCCAGGATACAAAGGCTTTTTAGAAGCCTCCGATAATGACTCAAACACGTCACCTTCAAAACCACGCATCATCTCATCCACCCCTTCATCCTCGACCTCATCCACATGATCATCCTCAAATCCATCCTCAACACTAGTATCAACAATATGTTCATCATTCTTGTATTCCTCGTCCACACGAATGTCATTGCTTCTATCATCATGCACATCATTCCCAATAACATCTTCACTGTACTCTCCTTCTTCACCGTGCCAAATCCACACATGGTATTTAACCCTAAACCCACGACAAACTACATGATCTCTAATGATATCAAAACTATTGACCACCTTCACATTATTACAATCAACACAAGGACAATAGAGGCAATCGAAACCCATTCTGCGCTCATAAGATGAAGCCCTCTCGCAAAACTTTTGAACCCCATTAAAGAATTCCAATGTATCACGTCTACCATACATCCAGCCACAATCCTTCTCCATTAAGTAAATTGTCTCTAAACATGGCAACATATTACGAATCATGTATAATTGCTACCATCTATTATATATGCAAATCAAATTCAAACACACAACATGCATATAACATTCATATAGATACAAATATGCATATATGCTTCCAAAGGGCCCTTATCACTCCAACCTAACCCATCCTTGAACGTTTACTCTCACTAGTGAATGTATGTCGACTTTCCAATTTTAAGGAAAATCCGGCAACATTTCCCCGCAGTTCTCCAAGTACACGATGTAGGTAATAACTTACCCACATATGTACCCAGAGAACATGGTGGTCGAGGAAATGGTAAGCCAAGATGTTCCTTAAAATCGAAAAAAAAGACATACATTCACCACCTAAGTGAGATTAAACGTTCAAGAATAGTCCCAACCGGGGACTATTCAAGAATTTTCCTAATGAGAAAGACTTGAACGGGTATCTAGGCATATGATGATGCAAGCATTTCACATATTTATTGTTGTCGCCAGTTTGTCATGAAAAAACTTTTATTCAAACAATAAAGAGAAAGAAATATACATAGCTTATTAGAGAAGTTTATAATTCATACCAACACAATGGATGTAATCTTTCTAACTTCCCACTTGAGCTAAATATGTAATCTTCAATCTGGTATTAAACTTCAAATCACATATGAATCTATAAAAACGCAAAAAAGAAAAAACAAAAGAATAAACAAAAGTTAGTAAGCATAAGAAATGGGTAATAAGAAAAGATAAGGGCATATGATTAAGGAATGAGAGAGAAAATGGGGCAACAAACCACAACCACCACAAAAGGTATAACACTACTTAACCCTATATATCGCCTATATATCAAATTTATCACCACAATGTATTTATACATGTTTGGTTCGCATTTTTGCAATTTTATATGACCTATTACTACTTAACCCTGGTGGCTAAGTTTTATTTATTCATTTTAGTAATTGCAATTTTATAATTCGAGAGACAAGTGGCTAAGTTTTATTTATTCATTTTGCTCCCCTACTACCTCACTCAAACACCTACACCAAAACACTACACATCCAGCCCGCATTCCCTCAGCTCCATTCACTAGTAGAAAAATCTAAATGGGAAGCGGTTCAACCCCCCTAATTGGAAGAGGTTTTGAACCGCTTCCTATTGGGGGGCTTGCCATTGTATAATTAAATTGGAAGCGGTTTGAACCGCTTCCAATTTATGGAGAATAGGAAGCGGTTTTGGCCCAAACCGCTTCCAATTCCCATTTTTAACATGAAAAAAAATGGAGAATTGGAAGCGGTTTTGGCGCCAAACCGCTTTCAATTCTCCATTTTTTTATTATTAATATTATAATATTATAAGTGACCCTTTCACAATAATTTTAGTATTATTAATTAATAATAATATTAATATTACAAACAATAATACAATGATATATATAACACGAAATAATTATATATATTAAAATTAACATCATTAATATATATCATGAACAATAATATTTAATTACACCAAAATATTAAACACACTCTGTAAGAATAGCAAACGTCCATGTTATTCAAGGACAAAAAAAAGAAGGAAAAAAAAAAAAAAAAAAAAAAAAAAAAAAAAAAAAAAAAAAAAAGAAGAAGCTCAGGCAGGCTGCACAGCTGCACAACAGCCCAGGCAAAGCAGCCCAGGCAGCCTAGGCAGGCTGCACAGGTGCACTGTAGCCCAGGCAGCTGCACAGTCAGCCTAGGTAGGCTGCACAGCTAGCCCAGTGGCCCTTGTTCTTGGTCGTGGTTCCTCTGGGTTATGACGTTGCAGAGTTCCTCAAATAACTGAGCTTGGGTTGTGTTGTTCACCGTCATTTGTGCGTCTTGCTGTTGACGGAATAACTCGAAACAACCATCGATTTTCTGCTTCAACAACAAAGCTGCTGTGATGGAACCACCTTGACAATCCCCTGTATTAACCATATCAGCAACTCCTGATTTCATTGAGTTAGATTACTCGGGTTGGGTTAGATATACATCACATAGAACTAAATAGAAGAGCATATAATCAACATAAACACAACTTGCATAGTTGCATTACATTACAAAATTCATGAAAATTAATGCATGATTATCAATCCTTAATATACATATTACAGTAACAAGCAAATGCAACCGCACAGTCAGGTGATCCAAAGTAAATCAACAAGGAAGATGATACAACTAACGAAAAGCAGCAGAGTTAAATTACCTTGCCAGTTAGAATGATAACACCAATTGAACTATCATCCCTTGCATCATCAAACGCTCGAATCAGCTCCTTGATTGTTTCTGGCCTAAAAGCATTCCCTCTTTTTGGCTGTGTAAGTAGAAAAATTACAAACTTTTTGACTGTGAAGAGAAACAGAAAAGATTTAAGAGACCTCAGCATCACCAATCATCAACATTTCAAAACTATCAAAGTTTTTCCTTCCCCTAATACGTTTTCTTCTTTCTAAAAAAATCTAAAATTTGAAATTTGATATCCAAACAGGAAATTCAAACAAAAAACTGACGCGATTTCTAGATAGATAAATTTTTTAGTTGAATCAATAGATTTCAAAGATCACATCAAACATTTCTGATCAGCCCCATTTTCAGCAACAAGGTCAAGTATATTGATAGCACATAGACTAAAGGAGAAAGCTAACACCCCAAGCTAAAAGAGATCAAGCTACTAGCTATATTGCCTAAATATTAGGCCAAAAGACGAAGACAGAGTTTAATATATTACAAGGCTGATCAAAATATTGTGCACGGCTTTTGTTTTAAATGTACCTTAATATTATTAGTATTAAAGTTCAAACATGGTGATTATTTATGTCATTTAGATATTGGCTCACAAGCCTGATTAGGGATAAGGCAGCGAAAACTAGATACCCCAAACCTGTTAACAAGCCAGCTGAATTCTCAATTCTTATTGTACATACTATTGTTTGCTAATTAAAAGTTTCATAATCAATTTGTGCAGAAAATCGGAGATTATTTTTCTCCACTAGCTATATAGCACGTATCATCATCACCTTCAATTGTCGTTTTAAATTATATTTATAAAGCATAGCTCAACATCCCCAAATTTCTTAGTTATTCAGGCACTTAATTGTGAGCCTAAAACCCCAAACTCCAAGATAGGGCCAAAGCCTAGACCTTAACTAAAACGTAATCAGAAAAATTTGCCACAATCTAGAATGTTGGTATCCCAATACAAGTAATCAGGGAAGTTTGTTTACCTCCCCAAAAGCCACGAGACTATCTAAAACAATTCTGTTGCATAGAAGACAGAAATTTGCACATAAACAGCAACTTTGGTTCAAGAATTTCTAAAATAAGAGTAGCACAACAATAAGATAATAGGGAAAACACCAGATTTAGCAACACATAAGTGTTTAATTTACTCATAATTCTAAAATAAACCACCAGAGATACATGTCATATGTATCAAATAAAATAAACGAAACACAGTTACACAACTCCCTCAATGACCCTACTCTGCTCCTCACACACATCAGCCTGTAATTTCAATTTAAGCAACAAGGCAACCTCCACACCAACACACAATCACACCACACATCACAGCAGCTCCAATTCACAAGCAAGTGCGTTGTAACCCCCTTAGCCATATAAATTTACATCTAAAACTATTGATAGAATCACATTAGATACTACTATACTCACATAACCATTACAAACAAAATAGGGCACCAAATCCGCACAACAGAAACAAAATTTGCACACTTCAATATAAAAACCTAAAAATTAAACAGAAACAAGAATTAAACATAAAGGATTACCTCATTTCAATTGAGCCTCGATGATTCGTATTAAGGAGTACCTCACCCTTTAATCTCAATCCTCTACAAAGTACCACAAAAATAATCAAAAATTGAAAGTTAAACATCAAGTTACAGAATACGAAAAGGAAAGCAAGATTAATTGTGAAATTTCACAAAAAATGAATGAAAAAGGAGATAAATTGCATAAATTGAATGAAAATTGTTTCAAAAAACCCTAGCCGTCGATGGCGCGCAACTAACCTAACAACACCTAAGTGAAGCTAAGGCAATGGTGTAGTTGTTGTGGTGGGGTTAAGTGAAGCTAACAGCAATGGTGGTTGTGGTGGAGTGACGGTGTGAGAGTGAAAGAGGAAGCAAAGAAGGTAGTCAGGGAGCGCAATTGTGAGAAATGAAGGAGGGGAAATGAGAGAGTTTAAATCCCGGTTTTTTTTTTAAGATAGGGAAGCGGTTTGAACCGCTTCTAATTACTTTTTAGAAGCGGTTCAAACCAAACCGCTTCCAATTCTCCTCTTGGTTTTTTTTTCCCGGGTTTTTGTATGGAATTAGAAGCGGATTCCAATAACCGCTTCCAATTAGTGGCTTCCCATTACCTATTTTCTACTAGTGATTGCAGCCATACTACTCCTAATCACCGACCACGCCAAACACCCAACACCCAAGACCATCTCCACCCTTTAATTTGCAGCCAAACATCACCTCAAATCACTACATCAACTCACAGCAGCAGCCACACATACAACAACACCAGCAGCAGCAGCCACACATACAACAACACCACCACCAGCCGTAGAAGCCCCCAACAACCAGCAAGCAGCAGCCCTAAAACCCCCCAACCAGCATGCATATATATAAAATAAATGTCACACGTATACAACATTAGCATAATTTGTTCTGTTCAAGCAACATACTCACATACAGATTAAGTAACATAGCTAAAAAATCAAAACAAGAACTTACATTTCATAACCATATATAAGCTAAGTATATGTGTGGAGGGTCGTTGTGGAGGGGGGCCTTGCGCGTTTAGTTGACAAACCCTATATTACAAGAAACTTACAATTACTAAAATGAATCGCAAATCCTCAAAAACCCATGAATGGGAAGGAATTAAATGGAGAAATTGAAACCTAGGTATACTTACCTCGAAGATGCTTCAATGGAGGAGAGATGAAGGTGGTGCGTGTGGCGGCAACTGCTCCAATGGAAGGTCTAAACCAGAATTCAATGGAGTGGAAGCAATGCAAAGAGAAGAGAAGAGGGAAGCAGCGAAAACAGAAGAGAAGAGGAAAGTAGCGAAAATAAGAGGTAGAGACGTTAGAAGCAAAGGGCATAATTAAAACACCCGGGTTTTTTTTTTTTAAAACTGGCACCGGTTCAAACCGGAGCTAATTGTTGTAATAGCCACCGGTTCTCTCTAAACCGGTGCCAACTCCACTCCTTGCTTTTGTTTTTTTTATATTTTTTTTTTAATAAAGGATGGCACTGGTTTGAACCGGTGCTAATTAAGCTATTTGGCACCGGTTTAGGTTAGAACCGGTGCCAACTCTCAAATTTCCAATCCCGCCCATTTATTTTGGCACCGGTTTTCAAGAACCGGTGCTAAAGGGGGGGTGCCTAATTCAAATTTTATACTAGTGCTTGTCTTGCTTGCGTCTCATATCCCGATGGGTTGACTTGGGCGAAAAATTGAAATTGTGTGATTTTTGACGATGTATTGTGGATTGCGTGAGTTGTGGGGCAAGCTCATTGGAAACCCTCACGAGATAAAAATTCGTCCTCTAGGGCGACTTGGAGGTTTAAATTGCTTCTCACTTGCGCTAAAAGTGATTGTGGTTCCTACCATGCGGATTATTGTGTATATGCATTCTCCTTGTTTTGATTCTAGCAAGTTATGGCCCTTCTTTGGTTTGACATTATTGTTTTTCTCGAGGACGAGAGAAAGCTTAGCTTGGGGGGATTTGATAACTTGTTATTTTGTATGATTTTAGAGTGATTTTGAGCCCTAGAATTGTGGGAAATCAATGCTTAGTTCACTAATTACTCTATTTTTATGCATTTTTTGTGTATCATACGCTTCACGGGTTTGCTAGTGTTTTGGTGCATATTTAGGTATAAATATGGCACTTTGAAGCTTTTGGACAAAGAAGAAAAGAAGTTTGATACAAGAAGAGGAAATAAGGGAGCTATGGAAGAATGAAACAAGCAAGGAAAAGTGTCCAAGAGTGAAATAAGAGCATTTGGAAGAATTTTTTCCTTAAGGTCAACTTCAAATGACCATAACTTTTTTTCTACTCCGGTTTTTGAAGTGATTCAAATTGGAGATTAAAGTTCATCTCAAGAGCTTTCCAATGACTGCTTCCATGCCTTATTCCAATGAGTAATGAAGAAGTTATGACCTTCCGAAATGAATTTGTTTCGCCAGAAAAAGTAGCACGTCCGTGCCAATTGATGCACGTCCGTGCAAGGTCAGGCAGTAGCTATTGTTCTCATTTTAATAGGTCTGCACGTCCGTGCAACCTTTGGCACGTCCGTGCCGACCTGTAGACGGGTCGATTTTTGGTTTCTCCGTCCTTTTACTTGGGGGTTATATACTATCCCTTTAGCTTCATTTGTATGGGGGGCTCTTTTTAGTTTAGTTTTAGCTTAGGTTAGGGTTTTTAGAGAGAGAAACTCTCAATTCTAGAGAGAGAAAGTGAGAAAAGCTTGTTGAAAGCTTGGAATATGAAGAATTGAGGAAGGGGACTTGAAGATTTGGATACTCCTTGCAATATCAATGAGAATTTCTTACTCTCTCTCTCCTATTTTGTTATTCTATTTACTTATTTTTGTACTTTTTCATCCATAATTACTTGTTTATGTTAGATTAGTGTTTGATTTTATGTTCTTAGTTGTTAATTCCTTTAGTTTTGCAATTTATTATGATTTGTGAGTAGTTCTTTTACTTGGGATGGTTGAAACCATTGATGAATTCACAAATACTTGTTTGTATGTGTTGATTTAGCTAATTTGGGATGTTAATTAGTTGAGCTTAATTAAGTGGTTTCATTGTTAGTTCTTGTAAGTGGCCATTGCTAGAACTATTTATCTAAGCTTTCTCAACGAAGGATCGAGAGATGAACTTGAGTTAGCTCCTTTATGCTTAATTGACTTAAAATGCCATGAGAATAGGAATTTCTAGTCAAGGGAATGTTTATGTCATCGTGATTATGCTTTACCACTTGTTTTATGCTTTGTAACCACGAGAGTAGGTTATATTCATGACTCAAGTAATCCCTCTAGTTTGAGAGAGTAGTTGGGTGCCTTAAATGACTTCCCCTAATTTATCCCCAAATTGATATGTCTTGTATGTTAAATTGTAGTTTGTGAATGACTTAATTGGTGGATACCTTCCCAAGATCCTTTTTATTATTGTTTGTAGTTTTTCTTCATAACTCATAACCCAAAAAGGCTTGACTTAGCTTATCACAAATCGATATTTGTTAGTGCTCCCCTTAGTCCTTGTGAGATCGACCCTTACTTGCCCTTTCTACCAACTAGAGAGACCAAGTTAGGTTTTTATCTTTGGTAGGCTTGACGACAGTCTATCAGTATGCAATCAAAGTTATGGGCCTATATAATGGTGACCCAGATGAAACTCTATCAGAATTGAATTCGGTAATATATTGTTTTATCTACATAATATTACTAATATTTTTTCTTAACTTACAATTCTCATCTTTCCTTTTTTCTCTTTTGCAGAAAGTCAAACACACACACACACATATATAGGGTTTTTTTTTATATATGTAATATATATAACTATATATGGATATATATTTTATGATATGTTTTATATGTTTTCATTTGTAATTATATTATATATTTTATATATGGAGGATATGTTTTACTTGTCCGAGGATATCATTTACTTAAAATATGATATAATTGTTTTGTTATATAGGATCATATTCTAATTTTTTGGTTGAGGTTTTTTTCTTAATTGAGGATATTACATATCTGTTTGAAGATATATATATATATATATATATATATATATATATATATATATATATATATATATATATATATATATATATATATATATATATATATATATATATATATATATATATATATTTATTTATTTATTTATTTTAGGGTGTCTGACTTATTTAAGAGTGTGGGTTAATTTCGTTTACTTATCATTTCTTTTTGTGGGTTGATTTCATTAATTTTTGTTGATTTTGTAGGGTTGATTTCGTTTATTTATGGTTGATTTTTGTGGGTTAATTTTGTTTATTTTTGTGGGTTGAATTTGTTTATCTATCGTTTTTTTTTTGGTTTTTAGCATGTTAATCTAGATTTTTTATTGGTGTTTAGGGCAGTGGTGGTTGGTGAGTGTTGTGGGCACCAGGTTGCTTGGTAGGGGGGCAGTTGGGGATGAAATGGGGGGTAGTGGGGGTTAAATTGGGGGGTTTTACATTATTTTTTTTTAAAAAAAATTTCTTTTAAATTTTTATATCATATATATCGGTAAACTGAAAATATCGATGGGAAAAATAATCAATGACTTTAAGTTATCACTATTTAAAAACAGATGATGGTCCTGGGCCAGCGATAAAACCAACGAAATTCACTACAAGTTGATTTTCAATGGACACGTTATTCCGTCAAAAAAATCGAAAATTCTGACGGATTTTTTATTTCGTCGGAAATTTCCAATAAATTTAAAAAATCTGACAGATTTTTCCGTCGGAAATTACCTTTTCTGACGGATTTTTATTCCGTCGAAAATTTCCGACAGAACTTCCATCGGAATATACTCTTAAAAAAAAGCTTTTAAAGAAAACCCTAGAACTCATGTTCCCCCTCTCCTTTCCGCCTCTTTTCCTTCTCTTTCCCCTTTTCTTTCTCTTTCCCCTTTCTCTTTCTCTCTGTCGTTCTCCTTCTCTCTTCTTCTGTCTCTAAAAAAGTGTTTCCGTCGAAAAAGGGCGTTTTCCCGACAAACACTTTTCCGATGGAAATTTTGCGTCGGAAATAGCTAGTCTGTTTTCTAGTAGTGATTGCGTTTACTGATGGCCAATCCATCGTTATTTTTAGTTTTTCCGACAAGTTGGTTTTCGTTGGCCAAATACCGATGATCATCCATCGGTAAACATGATATTGATGGTTAATTATATATATTTACCAATGGATTTTGATCATTGGTATTTGGCTTAATTCTTTTTTTTTGTATAAAATTTGGCTTAATTCTTGTAGTGAGTGTTACTATCATTACAAAACAGATGGAGTACGATATACGGAGTATGTCATATAAAGAATAAAGAATTATTCTAGACCAATTGACTTCACGAGTAACAAGAAAACTAACAACAAAATTTTGTTTAAGGTTTTATTATTTTTTAAAATAAGGAAGCGAACAAGTCCTTATTCTCAACTTTTTAACGTCGATTTTTTAGTGCATCACTTTTATTTATACTTTCTATTTTTTTAATTATAATTTTCTCCACACGTAATCTCAAACCTACTTTTATTTTATTATGTCTCTCCTCTCACATAGTCACATCTATCACTTTAATTTATGAGAAAATAGAAATTTCTTAACCTAATATACGGTAGCAGTTTCTCAAGGAGATACACTATTCCTTTATTGAAAAAGATGGGCTTATTTCACTCAATTTATGACTTTAATGGGAGACGGTAGCTTGGAAACGGTAATATACATGAATAAACGGTGCTAATAAAACTTGAATAAAAATCAACGGAGGAGGGGAACTCACAAGCAAATGGCAAACACCTACCTTTGAGATTAACCATGCTCTTCATTTAAATTCAATATTTTACTTAGGATTTTCGTTACTCCAAAAGCGTTCGGATAGCTATAAAACTACTGAAACTTTTTTTTAAAAAAAAAAACAAACAAACGTAGCGTAATATGGCACGATATTCATATTTATGCATAAATGACTCTAT